AGTTTCACTGTACGATGCCAGAGCGAGCCACATCTGTGCTCCTTCAGCCTCAGGGGCTGGGAAGTTGGGTCTGGACTGGCGAGGCTCTGCCACCGTGATGTGCAATTGGGCAAGTGCTGCCCCAGAACTCAGTGACCTTCTGGGGCCAATACCAGTTTGGTTTCCAGGGAACTCTGACTTTCTCCAGGGAGCTGCTTCCATGCATTGCAATCCCATCTGGATTTACTGAGTGTCCAGGGTGCTGTAGAAAGTATGACGTTTACAGCTAGGTGCGGTGGCTCACACCTGTAATCCCAGCACTTTGGGAAGCTGAGGGGGGCGGGTCAAGGTCAAGAGATCAAGACTATCCTGGCCAATGTGGTGAAACCCTTTCTCTACTAAAATTACAAAAATTAGCTGGGTGCGGTGGTGTGCACTTGTAGACCCAGCTACTTGAAAGGCTGAGGCAGAAGAATTGCTTGAACCTGGGAGGCGGAGGTTGCAGTGAACTGAGATTGCACCACTGTATTCTGGCCTGGCAATAGAGCAAGACTCCATCTCGAAAAAAAAAAAAAAAAAAAAGAAAAGAAAGTAAGTACAATGTTTCCCTGTTTAACTGCCTTCCTATTCTTTGTCAAAATGAGTTTGGACCTCCAAAGAGACATCAGCCTCTCTTTTCCCCAATTATAGGAAGACGGCGGGGGGAGGGGAGGCCGTGGGGCTTTTGAAAGGCGCTTTTAGGTCTCAGGAGGAGTGGCCTAGTGAGATGGTCCCCAGTCATGGGAGCACAGGTCTGTTTTTCCTGTGTGGCTCCTGACACTGCTCTGAAATGCATGCACTTCTGAGATTTGAGTTCTCCTGACAGAAACTATCAGTGCCTGCCAGATAGACTCTATGGCCTCTATCCCAGCTGTTCTGTGTTCCTGGGTTTTAATTTTTTGCCTCACTTAGTCGGCTTTTCCCCAGCCACAGAGTCCCCTCCTTGAAGGTGCTTACAGACATGTTCATAGGACAGACAGCAATGGAACACGCATAAAGACCACGCAGGGCAGCATCAACTTTGAACCACACAAGAGAGGTGGACATTTCCCTAAGGTGCAGAGGCAGGAGAACACAGCTCCAGTTTTGTTTGGATTTTGAGGGAAAAAGGGGCAATGAGGAAATGAGTGAGATGAGGGAAAATGTCACTGAGTGGATGGTGGGATGGAAACCTCAGACCAGGGGCAGGATCTTTCCAGACAGAGAAGGGGAAAGCCAGGGAGGGTTATTTAACAGACACCCAGAGGTGGGGAATCCAGGACTCGTTTAGAGATGAACTTTTAGGGTGTTTGACTTAGTGTGGTCGTTTATTTGGAAAACAGCTGATGGTTGCTGCTGTTGATGGGTAGATGAGCTGTGGCCCCTGATGGGGAGAAGCTCAGTGGATTGGTCAGGTGGATGCAGAGGTTCTGTGGTTGCACAGGAAAGGGAACAGCTGGCTATCCCTAAAGCCAGTGGCAACTGTAGGGAGAAGATGACTGTGGTCTGGGGAGGACCGTATACCAAGGATGTGCAGTGGCAGGAACAGTGTGGCCTGGCCAGGCAGGTAGCACTTTAACGTGGCAGCACATGTTCTTAGGGACCTACATTCAGGACCGCGACTGACACCCAGCTGGGAATGGGGACTCCTTGAGGATATTGATGCTGGGCCGGGGCAAATCTGCACAGCACAGAGGAGAATGTGGAGACCTGGCTGAGCAGAGGCGTCTGGGGGTGCATCGACCCAGGGGTGGCCTCGATCATCCCAGACGTGACAAGAAAACCCGAATTTGCATTTGTAATACAGCCATTAAAAAATTCTAAAATGAGGAAGAATTGAGGCTTCATGACTACTTACCATCCAGAGTGACACACTGAGAAACTTAAACAAGAAGTGAAGACTCCTGGGGGAGGAGGGAAGCTGCATCTCAGAAGGAGCTTAGCGGAGACTCGGCTTATCCACTTATTTTCCATGCATCGTAAGTTGTGCTATCATTTTGGGTTCTGTTTAATTTTTTTTTTTTTTTTTTTTGAGAGAAAGGGTCTTGCTCTGTCACCCAGGCTGGAGCACAGTGGTGCAACCTCCGCCTTATGGGTTCAAACAATTCTCATGCCTCAGTCTCCCATATAGCTGGGACTACAGGTACCCACCACCACACCCAGCTAATTTTTGTATTTTTAGTAGAGACAAGGTTTCACCATGTTGGCCAGGCTGGTCTCGAACTCCTGACCTCAGTGATCCACCTGCTTCAGCCTCCCAAAGTGCTGGGATTACAGGTGTCTACCACCACGCCTGACTATTTTTTGTATATTTAGTAGAGACAGGGTTTTGCCATCTTGTCCAAGCTGATCTTGAACTCCTGGGCTCAAGTGATCCGCCCACCTCAGCCTCTCAAAGTGCTGGGATTACAGGTATGAGCCATTGCGCTTGCCTGAGTGCTGTAATTTTTTACAAAATGACAAGGTCTTAATCTGCAAAGAGGCTTGGGCTGAAGGTAACACTGCAATAGCAATGCAAACATAACGTTTGGATGAAGATAAAACTGCACTAAAATAATGCTTTCTTAAGAAGAACATAAGAAAATGGCAATGCTGATGTTTTTATTTCTCCCAGGGCAAGCTCCGTCAGCCAACAGAAGATCGGTTAAAAAATGAAATATAACAAAAACACTGCTTTTAATTATGGACTTAAATGTGCTATTGTCAGTGACATGCCTTGCGTTAGTGCATGTCGTAAAGTCTGTTTATATTACATCTTTGGGAAGTATCTTTTCCAGCTATGACAGCCATCAAAACCAGAATGGAAATAAGTAAATCAGACCTTTCTATCCTAGAGTCCTAAAGTGCGAAAACAAGATTTTAAAAAAGTTATTTAATCTCATTATTTTTATGTAGAATACTATGTTGTTATTAATAAATAGAATTTAATGTTGTTTTTATAAATTATGTATTGTTAGTTTAGGCACATTTGATAACACACAGACTATTTTAGTTGGTGACAATGAATGTGATTCATATTTAAATAGACAGATCTTGGGGATGCTTTTCTAACTGATCAAAAAGCATGAAGATATATAAAGAGCACACCCTGGTGATGGATGATAAGGGGGAAATCCAGATGGAAGGGTGTCACCAGGAGCCAGGCAAGAGATGCTCATGTTCTTCACAAGGGTAACAGCAGTAAGGGTGGGGAGGACCTGGAGAGCTGGGAGGAGCTGAATGAAGGGGACTTGTTTGACCTTGAAGAAGGAATCAAGGGAGTCTGAATTCAGTCACAAGTTTAAAGGAGTGAATGGACATGAGAGGTCCAATTTTAGAAGGTCTTGGTGTTTGGGTGGATTTGAGGGATAAGAAAGAAGGTGGAAATTTGGCTAATTCCTAGTTTTCTCTCTAGAAGACTGAATGGATGACACATAGTTCACCAAGGAAGAAAAAGAAGGAAAGAGGGAATTAGGAAGCAAGTTCAACAGAGTGAGTTTTGGACCTGCTGTCTTTGAAGGACTCATGCATTTACTTGGAGGTCTCAAGCAGGAAAATGGATGAATGGTCTGGGGCAGGAAGAAGTGCAGGGGGCCGCATTCACTTCAGAGCGAAAACCACAGTCACCCGTGGAGGATGTGAAGTAAGAAGAGAAGCGGCCCAAGCACTGAATCACGTGGAGATAAGCACATGTGAGAGACCAGAGGGAGAGAAGCAAGTTGTGGAGGCCGGATTCTGCAAGAAGCAGACGGAAATCGGGAAGGAAGGTTCGCTGTGGAAAAGGCCCGGCAGCCAACATCCATAGACAGAAGTGCATCAGAGTAAGGCAGTCACCCCAAGGTGCTGTGAGGTGAAGAGGAAAGAAGTTGAGGTGGCTCAGGTGGGGTTCAGGGAGTGACAAAGGAGACCATTGCCAGTGATGGCAGTGAGGGTGCTCTGAGCAGAGCGCATGTGGGCATATCTCAAAATTACGATGAAGGGGAATTCAGTAATTGAGTTGAGTCTCTCCTCTCAGGTCCCTTTCACTCGTGCTTTGATGAGCTTTGGCTTCACTTCAAATGAAAAATGGTTTATGGCATCAATACCTGTATCTGTGCTAACCTGAATGAAACATAGATTTCTATGATCAGAAAGTTACTTAGTCAATGAGCCTCATTCTGTGAGTTCAACAATGCCATGTAAGCTAAAAGCCAGCATTCCTCATGGAACAGATGCCCAGGTTAAATTAAAATTACATATCACCCAACCACAGGGCAAAGCTACATAGTTCTAGGACTCAGGTGGCTACAACTCCTTTGGCAACGACAGGAACTTGCTCTTAAGGAGCTTCCCGTCTAGTGGTGCAGGGAAGCATGTATGATATCAGAATGTGGTAAGAACAGCTGAAGACTATTAACTCATCCATGTATAAAGAACTCTTAGAACACCAAGACTGGGCTTGGTGGCTCATGGCTATATATAGGCTGTGGTGCACAGATCATGAGGTCAAAAGATCGAGACCATCCTGGCCAACATGGTGAAACCCCGTCTCTGCTAAAAATGCAAAAATTAGCTGGGCGTGGTGGCTTGCACCTGTAGTCCCAGCTACTTGGGAGGCTGAGGCAGAAGAATTGTTTGAACCCAGGAGGCGGAGATGGCACCACTGCAGCACTCCAGCCTGGTGACAGAGTGAGACTCCATCTCAAAAAAAAAAAAAAAAAAGAAAAACTCTTACAGGCTGGGCTTAGTGGCTCACATTGTAATCCCAGCACTTTGGGAGGCTGAGGTGAGCAGATCACTTGAGGTCAGGAGTTCAAGACCAACCTGGCTGACATGGTGAAACCCCATTTCTACTAAAAATACAAAAAAATTAGTTGGACATGGTGGGAGACACCTGTATTCCTGGCTACTCAGGAGGCTGAGGTATGAGAATCTTTTGAACCTGGAAGGTGGAGGTTGCAGTGAGCCGAGATCAGGGGCGGAAGAAGCAATGGTGTGTGGCCGCGGCATGCCGAGGTGGGAGCAGCCTGCCGCTGCGTTCCTACCTCCGGGGCGATGTAGTCGGGTGTCCCGCAGAAGGTATTCGTCTTGGCATCTCCTAGCATGTTCTCCTTGCACATTCCAAAATCCGCGATCTTGATGTGTCCATCTTTGTCTAACAGGATGTTATCGAGCTTCAGGTCCCTGGAAAACAAAAGCAAAGCAAATCTCATATGAATAAATATAATTTGGTTAACTTAAAATTCATGCCAACAATTTTTTCTTTCCTTGGAGAACAGTAACCTCTTAAAAGATCCCATTCCATTTTTAGGGGAATGTAACTAATAACTTTTTTTTGAGACAAATTGTCACTCTGTTGCCAGGCTGGAGTGCAGTGATCTCAGCTCACTGTAACCTCTGCCTCCTGGGTTCAAGCAATTCTCTACCTCAGCCTCCCAAGTAGCTGGGATTACAGGAACCCACTACCATGCCCAGCTAATTTATATATATATATGTTTTTTTTTTTTTTTTTTAAGTAGAGACGGGGTTTCACCATCTTGGCCAGGCTGGTTTTGAAATCCTGACCTCTTGATCCACTTGCCTTAGCCTCCCAAGAATTGGGATTACAGGCATGAGCCACCTCACCCAGCCCTGATAACTTTTTAAAAAACAACCAAACTTTGCTTCCCTGTGATGCCACCTGTTGGTCCAAGGGGGCTTTCTACTGTTATCATGTGTGACACCCTGAATATTTGAAAAAAAATGACATCGAGTTTTCTCTTCCCTCACCAAGTTCAGGGACTTCGCTCCTGACGATGTGGTTTTCAGACCCTTTTACCTTGTATCACGGCTGAGGGAGATGTGGCCTCTGGGGGAAACTGGAAGACGGGCACACATTCTGGCCTCCACCTTCCAAATAACTTGAATTTGTCAGTTTTCCTCTTGAAACATGGTGCTCAGAATGAAGCCAGCATCTTCCAGAGAGAGAATCTGATTGCTGCAGGTTACACCATCCTCTTGCCTTTTGCCACAGTGAACTAAGATCCTGCACCATATTTTTTCATAGCTTCATCACAATAATGCTTAATATTGAGTTTATTGTAAACTAAAACCTTCAGGAGTTTTTTTTTTCCCCCAAAGAAACCCCAGAAAGTGGCTTATCAGGTTTTTGGGAGTTGAGACTTCTATATATTTAGTACCCACTCCCGTGCTTGACGAAGACCTGCACATCTAGAGCACACGTGGTCTGTGATACCAGCTGCAGTGGGTGGAATGGTGGCCCCCGGAAGATAGGTCCATGTATGTTCGTGTCCTAACCCCCAGAACTTTGTGGATATGCCCTTATTTGGACAAAGGGTCTTTGCATATGTAATTAAGTTAAAGCTCTCAAGGTGAGATTATCCTTGATTATCCAGCTGGGCCCTAAATCCATCAAGTGTTCTTAGAGAAGACAGATGGGCCAAGAGAGGGCCATGGAAAGACAGAGGTGGAGACTGGGTGCTGCGGCCACCAGAGGCTGGCAGAGCAGGGGCTTGGAGGGGGCACGCCCTGTCCACATCTTGCTTCCAAATGTCTGGCCTCCAGAATGGGATAGAATAAATTTCAATTTTTTTAAGCCACCAAATTTGGGATAATTTCTTATGGCAGCCCTTCAAAACTAATACAACAGTTTGATGAACAAATTTAGAAAATTATTATCCTATGAGGTCAAAAGAAAGAAATGAATTGAATCCTTTTGTTAATTCAGTTGCCAAAGTAAAAGTTTAGATAAGTCAAATTACACACAATTGAATAACTTCTTACTATTCAGCTTATAATAAGTAATAATTTCTTACTATTCAACTTATTTCTTATTAGGCAGCAGGCCAGTCTTAAAGCCAACATACTTGTCTGGTGACCCATCCTCAGTTCTAACTCTCTGCTGCTGACTTTCAAGGGTCTCCTGCAACCTAATGAGCACAAAAAATAAACCCAGGCTTTTTTCTTGTTGGTGCATAAGAAGACCTAAAGAACATAACTTCCATGCATGGGCAGGGTAAGACTCAAAAATGGGTATAATTTGTTGTGATAGTAAAGCTACTTATGGACATCTATTGCTTTTTTTGTTCTGAGTGTCAGTAATTTACATGGTGACATGATAGGAAGAAGCATTGTGACACAGGGAAAGAAAATGCACTGAGGTGTGTGAGTTTAGGGTTCACGGGGTCCCTTCTGGTCTAAGATCTCTGTCTCTCTCTTTCTCCGGCCCTTCCTAATTTTTATTCCTCCCTTCCATTTTATTTTTTTAAATTTTTTGAGATGGATTGTTGCTCTGTTGCCCAGGCTGAAATGCAGTGGCGTGATCTCAGGTCACTGCAATTGCCACCTCCCGGGTTCAAGCGATTCTCTTGCCTCAGCCTCCAGAGTAGCTGGGACTACAGGCATGCGCCACCACACCCAGCTAATTTTTGTATTTTTAGTAGAGACTGGATTTTGTCATTTTGGCCAGGCTGGTCTCCACTTCTAACCTCAGGTGATCCACCTGCTTTGGCTTCCCAAAGTGCTGGGATTTACAGGCATGAGCCACCACACCCAGCCCCTTTCATTTATTTATCTGTCCATCCATCACCATTCATACATCTATCCCATCCAATTATCTGTTCATTTACCCATCATCCATCCATCCATCCACAACCATCCACCCATCTGTTCATCCACTGTCCATCCATCCATCCACCCATCTGTATATCCAATTACCCATTTATCCATTCATCATTCACCCATTTGTCCACCGATCCAACCATCTGTACCCATCCATCCATCTATTCACTCATCCATCCATCCATCCATCCCATACCCATCCATCCATCTGTTCATTCATTGTCCATCTATCCATCTGTATATCCAAACACCTGTTTATCCATTCATCATTCATCCATCATTTGTCCACCCATCCAACCATCTGCACCCATCCATCCTCCATCCATCCATCCAACCATCTGTTCACTCATCCATCCATCCCACATAAGTTAGTCAGCGCCTAGGTACAGAAATATTTTAGATATATTGCAGGCCTTACATATATAAATAAAAATTTTTAAAAAAAATTCTGATAAGGGTTTTTAAATAATATTCTGGTATTTCTCAATTTCCTGAAGATTAAAAAAAATTATAAAACAGCTGCTTATGATTTTGTAGACCAAAAAATTATATTCAAAGAGGCTGCTTAAGAAGACTGACTTCCCAAACCTTTCTTAAGCCTTTAGTTCCGTGACTCTGAATAGGGCAACCCCCGCTTGGCTGCACCCTCAGAAAATGGAGAGGTTCTTCCCCACTAAGTGAATTCCACGCTCTGTAAGCACCAAAGCTTCAATACTAATCATCTGGTCTCCAGGAGCTCAGCCACCCTCCTCACTAGATCCTTTCTTTTCTATTTTTCCTTCTAATCTGCAGTGAGTTGGAAGCCTGACAGCTAAGCTTGTAAAGGTTTGTATGTTAAATAAGTGCAAACTATATTTTGAGAAAAGAAGTAAGGAGACTGAGGTACAATAGCTTCAGTCTAAGGGCTTGGAGAGAAGAAGGTGAAATAATGTCATATAGCAGAGTTCTGTATTCATGAAGGTGGACACAGGTGTTCTGTGCGCTTCTCCAAAGTGTGGAATCGTGGGTTTTCACAAGCGTATGTCAGTGTTCAGAGAAGGGCTCTCCTGCCTCAAAAGGAGACAATTCCGTAAGCATTTCTAGGTGGCCCAAAGCAAAGACAAGCAAAAGCAAGAGGTACAAAGGGGACAAAAGAGAAAGCAAAAGACAAGGCAACAAAGAGAAAGCAGGGCAGTGAAAATGGGGGAAGGAGGAGAAAGAAGGCATTCAAGTGAGAATCAGTGTAAGAGGCACAATGAGCTCAGCACTTTCCTGCTTTTGAGACTAGCATGTCTTCTTTGGTTGTGAGTAAGTCACCATCCATGTAATCACTGTGGGCAGGAAGCCTATGTGTGGAGCTTCCTCCCAGGAAATCACATGGGCTGTCTCGCAGCACTCGGTACAATGATTCAATTAACCGAGCCAGGAAACCCAGTATGTCAGCATTTCTTCCCACAAAGCAAAATTTACCTGTAGACTATTCCTTTGGAATGAAGGAACTGCAGACCAAGAATTATTTCAGCAGCATAAAACCTAGGGGAAAGAGAACCAAGGCTCAACGTGAATGTAGTCACAGAACAAAATCCCCAAACCCAGGCTGACCTTTTATGACATGCTTTGTGTGGCTAAATGGCGTCCACACATAAATCTTTAATCCTAACAAAGAAGATGTTGTCCATTCAGTCTACATATAAGAAAGTGGAGGCTCAGACACCTCCAGACTTAGCACTAACCGCATAAAACAGAGCTGACTTCTGAAGTGAGTCCTGCCTGTATCTGGTACTTGTTCTTATATTTTAAACAACAATGCTCACATTGTCAACTTTTTGTTTTTGCTAATAAAACATACAGAAATTAATAGTACAGGCCAGGTACAGTGGCTGTAATCCTACCACTTTGGGAGGCACAGGTAGGTGGATCACTTGAGGTCAGGAGTTCGAGACCAGCCTGGCCAACATGGTGAAACCCCATATATACAAAAATTAGCAGGGCATGGTGGCAGGTGCCTGTAGTCCCAGCTACTTGGGAGGCTGAGGCTTGATAACCACTTGAACCTGGGAGGCGGAGACTGTAGTGAGCTGAGATCACACCACTGCACTCCAGCCAGGGTGATAGAGACTCTGACACCCCCTCCAAAGAAAAATAGTATAGATAATAGGCAAATAATTTTCCCCTCTATTTTAAACTCTGCTTGGCACCCATAGACCTGTATGCACCATTTTAAATAGAAGTGGCTGGTTTATTTTTGTACTGAGAACCTTTAGCCTGGGAAACACTTACAGCCCCAGAGGTGGAAAAAAGGATATTAGCAGATTCAAGATGATAAGTTACTCTTTATCTTCAACGGTGAGAAGCTTAAAGAGAATCAGTTTACGCGATCACTGGTGGGATTAGGTTGGACATGAGAGAGAGCTTCCTGGAAGGGAAGTTTGCTGGATCTTGTGGAAGAATGCAAACTTCTCCTTCCTGGAAGGCATTTAGGACAGGCTGGATAGCATTGGTCCGAGCTGGCTGGAGATGACAGTGGACTAAGTGAATCCTTTTCAGCATGAAAAATGCCCGATTATTTCTCTGCTACAAAAATCCAGTAAAATTACCTTTGGGTGCACTGCTGAGGCTTCCCAGAGGCAGTGAGCTCAGCAGAGTGCTACCCACTAGATGTGACAAAGAGCCATTCC